TACGTCACACTCCTGAACAAACCCTCAGCAAACCCTAAACCCTAAACCCTAAACCCTAAACCTTCAAGCTTGCCTCTCCTACACTTATCAGAGAGCGGCTCAGCAGCAGCAGCAGCAGCAGCTTCTGCATGATAGCAGCTGCCTTCCTACTGCTGCAACAGCACAAGAAAAAGCCAGCAGCAGTTGCAGCAGCTGCTGCTGCAACTGCAGCAGCACCAACACCAGCGCTAGCAGCAGCAGCAGCAGCAGCTGCAACTGCAGCAGCAGCAGCAGCAGCAGCAACTTACGCTGAATTGTTTTCTAGCGATTGCTGCGCGCCGACAATTTCGGAATTGGGCAGCAACAGGGACCGATCGAAGCCTCATCTGCAGCAGCAGCAACAGCAGCAGCAACAGCAGCAGCAGCAACAGCAGCAGCAGCAACAGCAGCAGCAGCAACAGTAGATATAGCAGCAGCATTGAAGCTCTCACGTCTGACGACACATCGATATCGACTGTTGCTGCAAGGCAGCGCGGGTGTATGTCCAGCTCCTCCAGCAGCAACAGCAGCAGCAGCAGCACGACTAATAACTGCAGCAGCAGCAGCAAGAGCAGCAGCAGAGGCAGCAAAGAGATTAGCAGCAGATCCTCACCGACTCTACTTGCGATTTAGAAAGCCCGAGGTGTCTGTACAGCTGAGCTGCTGTAAATTTTTGTCTTAGAGGCAAATTAGCAACGAAAAGCGTACGCTCATTTCTCTGCTCTCTCGTCTCTGCTGCTGCTGCTGCTGCTGCTGTTGCTGCTGCTGCTCCTGGTGCTGCTGCTGCTTCACTTGGCTCCTCAGTCGGTTCGCTCTCTGCGGGCAAAGAGGTTGCAGCAGCAGTAGCTGCTGCTGCTGCTGCTGCTGCTGCTGCTACGCCGGCACGCAGGCTTCTCCTCTTTTCGCTTGGCCCCTCAGCTGCAGCAGCAGCACACATACACTGAAGGCGACAGCAGCTGCTGCAGCAGCAGTAGCAGGAGCAGCAGCAGCAGCAGCAGCAGCTTCCTCTCCCGCCTTTAAAGGCAGCAACACAAACCAACAACGTACAACTTATGCATGCATGCAGCACAACAGCAGCAATTTAATATTTTAAATATAATCCTTTCTTCTAGCACAAAGTATAGCTGTAGCTGCACAACCAACAGCACCTCCAGCTGCTGCTGCTGCTGCTGTTGCTGCTGCTGCTGTTGCTGCTGCTGCACCAATAATACCCCTGCAGCACAAGCAGCAGCAGAACGCACCTGAACCCGTAGCAGCAGAGGCTTCGCCACGGCGCTTGGTCCTGAATGCTTCATCGCTGCTGCTGCTGCTGCTGCTGCTGCTTTGGGGGCTGGTTGAGGGGTGGTGCTGCTGCTGCGTTTTTCTATCGAAGAGGGCCCTCAGTTGCTGCAGCTTCTGTTCTTCATTGTTTTGTTTTGTTTGTTTTTTATTTTTTGTGTTTGTTTGTTCTTTCTTCTTAGATTTAGCTTCAGCTGGCTCCGTTTTGTTGTTTGCTGCTGCTGCTGCTGTTGCTGTTGTTGCTGCTGTTGCTGTTGCTGCTGCTGCTGCTGCTGCTGCAGACTCAAGAAGCGAAGCCAAGGTCCCTGGGGTGTATGGGCAGCTTTCAGCTCCCGCTATCTGCTGCTGCTGCTGCTGCTGCTGTTTTTCAGTGCATTTCTTTTTGCTTTTCTTCTCTTTGCTTCTCCCTGCCTCAGCTAACTTTGCAGCCCCCATCTCAGCAGCAGCAGCAGCAGCAGCAGCAGCAGAAGGGTTTAAACAACAGAAGCAGCAGATTAAAAAGGCTTTAAAAAGAGTTTAATTGTCTTCTATAGATATATCATTAGGATATATACCGAAATATATAAATACTCATATAAGCAGCTAAAGAAGCTGTTATGCTGTGCAGATATTGAAGCCTTAAGCACTGCCGCAGCTGCAAATAATTTATTTTATTATTAAAAATATTAAAATATAAATAAATTAAAATAATTAAATTCAATATAAAAACATTCAAACAAAAAAGAAGAAAAATATAAACCTTTGGGGGCCCCAGGCCCCACGACATTTGGGGTGTATACAGAAGATATGCATGCAAAATAATGAAAATATAAAAAAATTAAAAATTAAATTTAAAATTTTCAAATTAAAATAATAAATAAATAAATTATTAAACAAAATAAAAGAGAAAATAAATATTGCTGTTGGAGCAAACAAAAAATTTTTGTCGTCTGTATACACCTCAGCAACTTCAATATTAAAATTTATTTTAATTTTTATTTTTTTGTTTATTTTGATTTATTATTGTAATTCATAATTTAAAAAATAAAGGTGATGAGTTAAATGCAGAAGAAGCCCTTCTTAGGTATTCAATAAGTTTTAGGGTTTAGGGTTTAGGGTTTAGGGTTTAGGGTTTAGGGTTTAGGGTTTAGGAGCGCAAAAATATGTAATAATAATAATGATTATTGTTTTATATTTTTGTTGTTAATATCACAACCATTATTATTAGTGTTGCAATGATTATTTTTCCTTGCTATTGTTGTTAATATTATTCATAATAATATTATTATCAATATTATTATTATTTTTACTCTTATGATTGTCACTGGCGTTATTATTATCGCTCTTACTTCTTCTGCTATCACAGTATCTACTATTCTCCTTAGTCTTATTACTATTATTATTATTACTATTATTATTACTATTATTATTATTATTGTTATTATTGTTCGTTTTCTTGTTCTTATCCTTATTCTTATTCTTATTCTTACTATTATTATTATTATTATTATTATTATTATTATTATTATTATTATTATTATTATTATTATAGTCGAACTAATAGTTCAGACAAAACCACAAAAAATCTGCTTGATAACATAAAAATATAAAAAGTTTGAAATTATTCGCGAAATTAACTCATCAACCCCCACATATAAATGCAATTAGAATAATTATAATTTTATAATTGTAATTATGCAATTATTTAATAATAATAATAATAATAATAATAATAATAATAATAGTAATAATAATAATAATGTTAAAGTATAATTATTATAATTATTTTTTAGTTTGAGTTTATGATTGCATGTAATGAACGCTATCCGTTTTTTAATGATAGCACGAAGTATAAAACAATTTAAATACTTTCAATAATAAATATTTATTTTATTTTTAATGCATTATTATTATTATGATTTATAAGTCAGAAAACTAATAATGCGCGAATAGTTTGGTCCTATAATATAATAATAACAATTGATATCACCATAATAATTACAATTATTATCAATAATAATTTCACTTATTATAATAATTATAATTATAATTATAGTTAATTGCTGTATATTGTATAATTATCTATATATATATATATACATATATACATACATATATGTACATGCATATATATACATGTATATATATATTATATATATTACAATTAAGATTGTAGTTATTATTATAATTCTAACTCAACGGAGACAGGCAGCGTTGCTCTGTAGAAGATTGACCAGCATGAGAAGAAAACAATTAAAAATAGTTTTTTTATGAAGTTAAATTTAAGCTAAGTTCATCATTATAAAGGCTTTGGAGGTGTCTGCTCTGTTATCTGTTAAGGAGCCGCAATAAGAAGAAGAAATAATAATAAATAATATCATCCCTGTGCAAAAGGAAGAAAAATAGAAATGGATGCCGTTTAGATGAGGCGTGATATATTCAAATTCATATATTGATCTTCTGCTTCCTTGCCCTGTTCTTTCGGGGTATTCTCAGCAAAACAAGCTAAAGATTGTTTTGCTTGAGCTTATTTGAAGCATTAAATAAATTAAAATGCAAATGTCATTGTATTTTTATGATTAATAAAAACTCTGGTGTCGTTTCAGGTGTATCCCTGTACAGACAGTTCTACAGAGGAAGAAAATAGGGGGCCCCAGCGCTCTCAGTCGGTATTAATCAGAGAAACCAGCCGGAAAAATATATTAAAAAGAATCAAAAATAGGAAAATATATATTATATTACTTTCATTTTTTAATTCTCCGATCAAATGCTGCAGATCTACAAGTTTCTTCTGTCTTCATGATGCTCTGACTTGAACGAGCCCGTTTACTTGCGCTGCAAACAGTAGCGAAACACCAGACAGAAGGAAACACGCGTTATTTTCAGGAAATAAATAATTAAAATTTTAATTTTTATAATCTTATGTTGGAAAAACAGCAAATGCATCTTTGAGTGGCTTCCTTCTGCAGCTACTGCAGAAAAAATACCATGCAAAATCGTTTGCAGAAAGGCGTCGGGATCTCCAGCAAAACAGGAGAAACAGGTAAGTAATTACGAGTAAATGTAAATAAATGAATAAATAAATAAATAAATGTGAAAAAAGAAACACTAATTTGGTTGTCGTGCGCAGCGGCGTTGTTTTGCTTTCGGTCGGACCAATGGCACACCCGTTGACGAGATGAGGCTGCACTTGGAAAACGTCTATAATTTTGTTTATTTATTGGAAATAAGTTAAAATGATTGATTAATTGATTATTTTTGATGTTTTCTCTTCTTATTGATACTCTTTTTCGCATAATTTCCCCCCTGTTTCCTTCGTCGGCGTGCCGCGCGCGGTCTATGTACGTTCGCTGATGCTCCCGACTCCGCAGTATTTATTCAAGATTATTCCTTCCCCTAAGTCTAAAAGGCTTATTAATTTGCTTTTTTAGTCTGGGGGGCTCGGCTGTTCCTGCAGAAGAGGGCAGTCAACTTAAGATCTTCCTTCGCATGAGAATTTAATTTCACGTATTTCTTCACCTACAGTACGACTGACGAGGGTGTTGAGGTGTATACACCCCAGAGGAGCCCCCTCTTCTCCTGTGGTTAGAGGGCCCTTCTCGTCTCTTCTACTCTTATATTAGGTCCCGCTAAACCCCAGCCATCAAGCAGCAGTAGACATTCAGTGCTAGACACCCCAGCAGCTACCACCAGGTATTCTGCTGTCAGGGGTTGTTGACTGCAGCATGGATGCCTTTGAGCATCCGTCAAGAGAGAACCGAATGGATCTTGAGTTGCAGCAGGAGTCTCCAGAGCAACAGCAGCAGCAAGACGGTGTGCAGAATGCGCAGCAGCAAGAGTTTCCCAGTGAAATACTACAGCAGCAGCAGCAGCAGCAGCAGCAGCAGCAGCAGCAGCAGCAGGATGATTCTCATGGAGAGACTCAGCAGCAGGAGCTGTCACCTCCTCAGGTAGATTCCTTTCAAGGGAATGAGGGGGCCCCACTACGATCGAGGCGACAATCTTTTATTGTTCAATCTCTACCTATGCCTGGTCCTGGGCCCCTACAATGCCCTGGGCCCCTTGATCTTGAGCTAGCGCATGCTCCTCATGAAGTGCTTCCTCAGCCGAAACGTATAGAGGGTTCTTCTCCTTTAGGAGGCTCTAGCAGCACATTGTTAGGGCCCCCAGCTCCTTCTGCATGCCCCTTGCTGCAGCAGCTACAGGAAGACTCAACCAATCAAAATGAAGCAATAGCACCACTATCAATTGTTCCGCTACCTACTTTCGTTGGCGTCCCCCTACCTGTCTCTGTTGAACAGCCTAAGAGAGCTGAAAGCCCTCTATCAGAGTCTGTCTCTCTTACTGTGCTGCAACATCCTGCAGACAATCTTGAGCCTTTGCCTCCTCCACGTAAGAAAACAAATACAAATAAAAATAAAAATAAAAATAAAAATAAAAATATCAAACAAACCTCTTATTCATACACACGGGCTGCTGTTCTTTGCTCGCTAAAGTGCCCTATTATTACTGTTATTGTTTACTATAATTATAATTATAATTATTATAACTATAATTATAATTATAATTATTATAATTATAGTTATTATTATTATTATAATTATAGTTATTATTATTATTATTATTAGATTGTAATCCCTATAATAACTCTAATATCGATAACAATTATTACTATTATTATTATTATTATTATATAATATATAACAATAATAATAATAATTATTATTATAGTTATATATATTTAGTAGAACTATATTGATGACGAGCATTGCTGCTGCTGTACGTTTATTATGCAGCTGCAGCACCTTCTGGAGAACTGATTAATGTGGGGCCCCGGGTGTCTGCTGAGCCTCTGCTGCCTCTATTATTTACAAGTACAATTGAAGGGGCCCCTCCTTGGCCTGCAACAGAAGTAGAAGAAGCAGCAGTTTATAATCATTCGGGCGATACTCCTGCAACAGCACCTGTCTCACTTTCTACAAGTATACCAGGGGCCCTGGGGGCCCCCTCTGTTGCTGCTTCAGCTCGTTCTTGTCTAAGTGCTTTTAATCAAACTCTTTATGAATGCTCTGCAGTTGTAGGAGCCTCTTCAGAAGCAGCTAAAGACGATAATTACTTTATACATGCATCTTCTCTTGCCCCACCCTCTTCTATTGTATTTCTCCCAGGAAACGCAGCAGCAAGTGCTAGTACTGCAGCAGCAGCAGCAGCTGCTGCTGCTGCTGCTGGTGCGCCTAATGAAGCAACAGCAGCAGCAGCAGAAACAGCTGAAGCAGGATCTAAGATAAGCAAGAAACGTCATCTCTGGCGTACAGGGTTCTTAGCGACCAGTGGAGGCCTCGCTGGGGGCCCCCAACCCACAGGGGCCCCCAAACTTCCTTGTACCTCTTTGGGGGCCCCCAGCAGCTGGTTGAATTCCTATGGTTGTGAACCCTTAGATCCTCAGTCGCTGCAGAGTCGCATGCAAGAGACAGCAGCAGGAAGCTCAGCAGCATCATCATCATCATCATCATCTGCAGCAGCAGCAGCAGCAGCAGCAGCAGCAGGAAGACATGCTGCAGCAGGATCTGCTGCTCCTCAAAGGAGATGCAGAAAGATATTCGGCATTGCTCGCTTGTGTGGGGCTTTAGGTGTATGGTTTTGTTTGCTAGCAGCTGTTGCGCTGCTGCTGCAGCTGAAGCCAGGGGGTTCAATACAGGTGCTGCAGGTTGCTGCTCCTGTTGCTGCTGTGCTGCTGTTCTTTTCTCCTGCTGCAGCAGCTAGAAGAGCTCTTCGAGATGTAGATACAGCTACACTACCTGCTGGGGTCTTTGCTGCTCAAGCTGTTGCATGCAGCATTGCTCTTGTATACGGCATGCAGATTAACAGCAACGCAATCTTTATTACTAATGCTATAGGTACTTAATCAATTTAATTAATTTAATTTAATTAATTTAATTTAATTAACTTAATTTAATTACCTTAATTTTATTTATTTTATTTAATTTAGTTAAAGTGTGGATTTGTAGTAATTTGAATTAAGTTGAATTAAAGCGAATAAAATAAAAAATAAATTAAATTAATTTTAATTTAATTAAATTATATATAATAAAATTAAATACAATTAAATTAAATACAATTAAATTATATTATATTATATTAAGCATGATTTCTTGTGTATGTTGCTGCAGGCTTGGTAGCAGAGGTTTGCTGGCTTGCTGTTTTTGCTGCATGTCTGCAGCAGCAAAGCGAATCCCGCTGCTGCTCTCGTACTGGAAGTTTAAATGGGGGGCCCCATGAGGGGGGCCCCCCTTCGTGTTGGTTGCATACAGTAGGTGGAAGCCCGTCAGCAGCAGATTCACCTAGAGCAGCAGCAGCAGCAGCAGCAGCAGCACCTTCGTTGCAGCGGCGAGCCCTCCAAAGAGCTGCTTTCAAACATAAAGCAGCAATTAATCTTAATTCGCTTTCATCACCTGCTGCTGCTGCTGCTGCTGCTGCTACTACACGCAGCACAGCAACTCCTTCTCATAATGGCGGTGGTAGGCCTGCAACAGCAAGACACAAGAGACCTCTACAGCAGCAGCAGCAGCAGCTGCAGCTGCAGCAGCAGCAGCAACAGCTGCACCACCAGATGCAGCTGCAGCAGCAGCAGCAGCAGCAGCAACACCCAGCAGCAGGGATGCCAGGAGCAGCAAACCTACATAAGGGTTCTCCTAGGGGGCCCCGCACTGCTGTGGGGCCCTCAGCTTCATGCTTACATCGCAGCAGCAGCATTGCCAGCTGTATGAACAGAGCCAGCAGCAGCAACGGCAGCAGCAGCGAGGATAACGGAGGGAACAGCAACAGCAGCAACTATGCATCCGAAGCAGATTGCAACAGCAACAACAACCGAAGGCGGGGCTGCAGCAGCAGCAGCAGCAGCAGCAGCAGCAGAAGGAGAAGACGCTGGGTATCTCTCGAGTCGCACAACTCTATCTCTGCAACATCAGCATTGTGCTGCATTCGGTGGTTCAGCTTGCTGCTGCTGTCTTCAGCACCGCTGCTGCTCTTTCTGCTGCTGCTGCCAGTTAACTTCGTCGGCTGGCTGCAGCTGCCTGCTTCATTCTCTCTCTTTGGTGCTCACGTGCCCAGACTCGTAAGCATTATATACCCCTCCTGCTGCTGCTGCTGCTGCTGCTGCTGCTACTCCTGCCAATTCTGGTGATGCTGGTGCTGGTGCTGGTGCTGCTGCTGCTGCCGCTGCTGCTGCTGCTGCTGCTGCTGCTGCTGTTGCTGCTGCTGTTCTTACTGCTGCTGGTGGTGCTGCTGTTGCTGCTGCTCCTTCGTTTGTTTTTCTTCTTTTCCCAGATTACAGCAATTCTTCTTTTTATTATCACTATAATAATAATAATTATTATTGATATTATTATTATTATTATTATTATTATTATTATTATTATTATTATTAATATTATTATTATTATTATTATTATTATTATTATTATTATTATATTTGTTTGTTTGCAGTGCACGATGATTAGTTCGAAGTCGCACGCGTGTCTCCCTCAGCCGTTAGTGTTGATGGGCATTGTCTGTAATGCACTTTGGGCTTTGCTCGGCTTTACTTCAAAGCTCAGCGCTGTTTGCTGCGTTGGAGTCGTAGGTAAGAATGCAGTTTATTCAAATGAGAACAGCTGCATGCACTTATTAACTTATCTATCTACATCTATATGTACACACACACATATATATATATGCATATATATATATATATGTGTGTACATATAGAGGTAGATAGATAAGTTGATAAGTGGATATGTATATATATATAGGAAAAGAAAGAGAAGGAAAGAGAGACAGAGAGAGAGAGAATGAGATGTGTTCCCTTTTTTTATGTTGCGTGCTGCTGCTGCTGCTGCTGCTGCTGCTGCTGCTGCTGCTGCTGTTGCTGCTGCTGCTGCTGGTTTTAGGGTATTTGTTTAGTGCCTTGCAGATGCATGTTATTTGGTGGGCGAAGGGGGTTTGCAATTTGTTAGACTTCGAATGCTTTACTGAGGGAGGAGGCCGCAGCAGCAGCAGCAGCAGCAGCAGCAGCAGCAGAGACGAACAGCAGCACCAACATCTCTCTTTTTCTGCTCGCTCTTCTCCCAGAGACTGAAGTCGCAACAACTGCAGCACCAGGGCCTCATCTTCATGCATGCATATATACAAATATATATATATATATTATAATGTGTATATGCTTGCAAGTATATATGTATATGTGCATACACGTATTTTTGTACATATATGTATATATACATATATATGCATATACATACGTATATGCATATATAAATATATAAATATATAAATATATGTATATATATTTATACTTATATATATATATATTTATTTATTTATTTATTTCAGCTGCTCTCTGCAGCAGTCTCGTAGGTGTGTGCGGTGTATTTGTGTTGTTGCTCTGCATACAGCAGAAAAACAAAATAAAATATTTTTACTTTCACTTAGACAATGCATGCAACTAAACCTGACAAGGCGGAGGAGGCTTTATAATAATAATAATATTAATATTAATATTAAAATAAAACAACAAAAAGAAAAAGAAAAAAGAAAAACGCACAAATAAAAATATTTCTCTTACCTCCCGCCAAAGCATCAACGCGGATTTAATTTCAGCTCTCATATAATATATATATATGTATATATATATATATATGTAAATTATATATACATATATATAGACAAATATAGATATATTATATACATATACATACATATATATATATATATACATATAAATGTATGGAGTTATGTGTATACGCATATATATATATATATATGTATATATATATATATATATATCTATAATATATATATATATATACAGATATATATATTATTCTATA